TAATTACCCCTGCACAGGGTGTCCCAGTAACGTTCATTAAAAGCCATAATTGCATTGGGGTGACATGCTCTTTCATCCTCTTTGGGTTCCTTTCTGGTGATTTAGCTGCCAGTGAGCGCTGCTGCCCCTGTCTGTCTGAGTCAATGAAGGTTGATTGAGATCCGTGTTCTGTGAATGTGTGCTGCTCCGTCTCCTGAGCGCAGCGTCATTGTGACAAAGTCAACATATTAGTTATTTTTAACAGTTTTAACAAGGCTTCACTAATCTTTACTCTGACTGTGTTCTGATCTCCCACTTAAAGTGTTATGTTCAACTCTCTCCATCTCTTTCCAAGCTGAGAGTCAGTAACATTCATCATCTCCTCCCCTTTATTAATGAATGAATTTATTTATTTCACCTTCCTTGTATGTTTTCGTGTCTTTTTCTGCTCTTCTCTGATCTCTTGCATTGATTTGCCTCTTCTTTGTCTCAGAGCACTGGCCTCCAAGTTGTCAGCTGCGTCAGGATTAAAAGCTATTAGTTCTGCATCATTGCCGCTACAAGTGCGCTCATGAGATTGATAGAGTGCCCCTCTCCACTGGGGAGGAAGAAAAGAGGGCCCACCCATTCAGTTGGAGGTTTTTATTCTGAATAGAAGGACAATGTGTTTTTTTTTTTTCATTATCATTTTTACTCATTTCAAGTTAATTAATCAGAAAAACCTTAGATGTTTAAGCATTTCATTTACACCAGCTTTGCATTTATATAATATTTTCTTGTCCACTTCTCTTTCCTGTGGGGGTTTCCACACTGCTGCAAGACTGTCACCAAAGAGCCACCTTTGCTAATTTCATGAAGCAAGCTGTATTTTTTTTTTCCATGACTGTCAGCAAAATTGACTCACTGTGGCCGGCGACTGCCTCGTAATTTATTTCTTTTGTCCGGTGACAAGTCCCAGATGAGGCGAGCGAGCTCATGGGACATGCTGTTGAATCAGACTCGGAACGAATCGAGAGGACAAAGATTTGAAGGGAACAGAGTAGAGGACTTAAATATATGTTTTCATATAAAACCCACTGTAGTATGGTGTGTGATCTGAGAATGGTAAAATCTCATCAGCAATAGTTCCCATTTCCATGTCTCCCCTCCTGAACGCGGGGGCTCATTCTGCTCATTACAACCTGAGTTTGGTTCCACCTCCTGCTTCTGTCTCTGCACGTCAGAGTTGCAGGGAAGTCAAACAAATCCAGGGGTTTATTGTACTGTCACCTTCTAACACACACCTCATATTTCATTGCAGGCAGTTGTTGGCTACTTTGACATTTTCTTCGAGAGAGGCTGCAGCAACAAGGTAAGCAGCGGTGGCAACAGCCGAACCATTTAACTCAATTATGTTCACAATTTAGCATGTTCCTCTTCCCCGAGGCGCTCGCTGGCAATCGACAGGCGTCCTAGTCCACTGCTGATGTAAGCACTTACCCAGCACAGGCAGTCAGTCGGAACAGCCGGTGCCAGGCTGCCTCTGATGTGACTTTTGCACCAACTACTGTACCTGAGGTTTAAAGTGTGTGATTCAGATGATTCAGAGAACACACATTGTTTAAGTGTCTACCTAAGTTGCTGTTGTTGTACGTTTGCCAAATAAACAGTCACATTTGAAGTACCTAAGTTTTGAAGTGGTTTAGATTCATATAGAAAAAAATATTTCAAAAAAATTATAAACGGTCTGTTCTCTCTCTCACTTTCTCCCTCCCCACTTTTTCTCCCTCTCTCCATTTTTCTCTTTGTTCATTGCTTTCTCTTCATTGTACCAGGTGATGTTCTCCACTGGCCCTCAAGTCACAAAAACACATTGGAAACAGACTGTTTTCCTACTGGAAAAACCCATTTCTGTCCAAGCAGGTAAGTAACCGTAGTGATGTCCAGAAACACCTAATTTTCCCATTGAAAAAGGACTTACTAGCGTGTATACATATGTCCTGGTTTCGTTGTCGTGTTACGGTTTTTACGTCTTCATATTCTTACATGAACTCTTACATTTTTACTCCCAAGGACGGTGGTGGTGCCGTCATTGGGAACCGCGGCAGGTAATCAGTCTGTGGTGGAGATGTAGTCGGCCTTGTTGACACCTGTTATCGGTCACCCACAGTGACAGCGGCGGATCCAAACAAATCGCATTCAGCCATCAGAGACATCATGTAAAACTTCATCTGATAGGCCGACGCAGGCCCCTGAATCATGGCTGGTTTCACCAGCACATCTTTGTAAATGACCAGTGAAATATTAATGAATCACTGTATCAGCAAACTCTGTGCTGTGAACTGCCACGGTGTACTGTCAGTCTGCATTGTTAGTTTTATTCAGATCGTCATTAACAAAATGTGCTGAATTCAATGTTAAGAAAGATATATTAGATAAAAGATTCAAACAGGGTTAGAGCAAGTGATTAGAACTTTTTTTAACTTTACTACTCATTGTCATGTTTCAGTGACACTTTAGGAAGACATTGCCCAGGAAGTGACATTATGTTAAGTTTTCTCTGAAGTTCCTTCTTTTTTTCTTACTCTTCATTTACCTCAACTCGGAAAACATATGAAAATATAATATTTTTTTTTACCTCAACTCAGAAAAAATGTTTTTATCATCGAAAGGACATTAGTCATTTTTAGATATTTTGTTGCAAATAAACATGCTAATTGTGTTGGGTGTTTTACATATTCACAATGTGTGAATGTGTGAATGACCCTAGTACTCCAATGAACACTGCCCCCCCCCTCCCCCCCCCCATTATTATCATAATGGAAATCATGGATGTGTCTGCTGTAGTGGGGATGGATGAGCCTCAGTGCTGCCTGTCCTCTCACTGACCACATATCAGATGGAGGCTACTGTAATAAATGACCTGCGCAGGCACAGCAGTGGCTGATATCTGGCAAACTCGCCAAGCTCGGCCCACGCTGGCGACAGCTGGCGTGATAAGAACATCAAAACCTCTGACGCTGCTCAAACCTTTATCTCCAGCTCCGTGCTCTGCTGAGTCAGATAAACACTGGGAATCCTGGAGCGCTAGTCGATGTAATGCTGAAGCTCAGCAAACGGCAGAAGTCAAAACAACGTGATGTAATCACTTTGCATGACGACTTGTATGATGTGTGGCTGATTCAATTAAACACCAGCACAAATGAGTACAGAAACATGACGACCAGGGGGTTGGAGGGTGTGGAGGGGGGGGGAGGCGTGGTGCCGGGTAAAGAAGAAAAATGGTATTTGTTTCGCCGTCTTACATCTTTACAGTGAAGCTCGGTTAAATACCTTGTGTTCTCAGGCAGTACCTCTATTACCATGACAACAAATCAGCAGGCAGTCATTTTAAGAAACCACATGACAAGCTTCCTTTGGCTTCTCTTTAATTAAAGCCTTGTGAGGGAAATTAGTAAAACATTCTCAAATGATGGTACAGTGGCCCCAATACTGCAGTAAACCTTCATGTACCTGTGTATTGGGCCTTTGTGCCAGAGTTTCTCATAGAAAAGAAAAGGTCTGTTTTTCGGCAATGTTCACTGGCTTGGATTTTGGCATAAAGAAAAAGAAATTGTATTTTAAAAAAGTATAAAGACCTGTATAGTAAATATAGTTTTAGTATTTAGGAGATGGTGCTTTCAAGGCCTAGGTCCCTGAATCAGTAGCTTGTGGGAGATTTTATTCATTTTTCTGGCTTCCAGGTTATACCATAGCCCAGAGCCCTTGTAGTTGTGTGCAGCTGTACACCTCCAGTTCCATTGTCACATATTCAAAGTAAATTGTTGGACATATGTCTTCATAAATTAACCAGACAGTTAAGTCTAGCTATTTTTGCCTAAACTGACTGGAGGAAGGAGTTTGACTTCAACTTCTTGTTCTAAATGTAAAACAAGCTCATTCAGCAGCAAGTTTAGAGTTTAAAGGAAAAAAAAAAGAAGGAAGAAAGGGTACGAGGGAGAAAGAGCGGCGTTGAGCCACAGGTTATTGATGTGCTCACTTTACTCTGGCACCCTGATGGTCCCAGCCTCTTCCAGGGGCTGTAAACCAAAAATGGACTTCTTAACAACATTTAGTGGCTGCCTGCTAAGATCCTATGGTGCACTTTACAACACGCACACACACACAGCTTCTGTACACACACAAGTTAACAGGAGTTGTTTTACAGAGTCTTAATAGAAAACTTCCCAAAGTCACCTTGAACATGACTAAACTTATTCACGTGGTGTTTCCTCACTGCTGTTGAGAGAAGAAGCTCTCGTCTGTGATTTGCTGGTTTGAGGGCCAGGCATAAACATCCAGTGGTTTGTTTTAATCCTGACTCTGTCTTTGGTGATTTATTGTGGCTGAGACTGAATCCTATTTGATGTGATTGTACCAGTGCAGCAGTAATTAACTCTGTGGCTTCACTTCTGTGGGAGGTGCCGGGGGGACAGAGGAGGGGAGGGGAGGGGAGAGGAGGGAGAAAACGCATGCAGCAGGCTGGAACAAAACATCCCTGCAAATCCTCCCGCCTGGCAGTGTAATCAATTAAATTCCGAATCATTTGTCATGCTCTGGTGTGTTTGTGTAACTGATGTATTGTAGAGGAGGCTCCTTTTTCACACTTCTACCTATTTAATGTTCATCAGCAGAAAAGAGGTCACCCTTTTTTTTTTTTTTTTGTCGTGTTGTCTTCAAAGTGGGATGGTAAATTAGCTACCTGCGCAGAAACCCTCAGGCTCACACGTTCATTCTTCTTGGGCCTTTCATTGGACGATCAGGTGGCCTTTCTCCCCACCCACTTTCATGACTCACTTCCTCATGACTCACTGTGATAATCTGCTGTTGTACCTCTTCTAAATCTTTCCCCTGCCTTCATCTGCCCCTCGCCTCCCCTCCGTCCTCTCTACTGCCAACACAATTTGAACTCTGGAGGACCTTGAACTGTCCAGGAGCAGCCGTGGAGCTAAGCCTTTGAGTTATCCCAGGCCATAATTCAACCAGACGCTTGGTTTTGCGCTGGTCGACCGTCGCTTGGGATATACAACCTATCAGCTCTGCTTTTTACCTTTACTCTGAGCAGGAAAAGGCCCAAGGAGCAAAACAGATAAAACAAGGGCAGATAGGGACAATAGGGAGGATGTCAGAGACATGAAGCTGAAATGTAGATAACAGCAACACTGTAGCATCAGCTAAGGGGTCACATTCAAAGGTCTGCTGTCTTTTGAGGACAGTTTGCCTCAGACCATAAACAGTTTTAAAAAAAAAATTACATAAAACTAAAACGTTGCAGCACAGGTTTATAATTGTATTCAACTCATTGTTTTCCTTTGAAAAGGTGGGAGTTTTAATGAAATAAATCTGTTCTAACTGATCAACCCTCCAGTCGTGATGCTGCAGCCACTGCAGGATACTGTGAACCAAGTGGTTAAAATGCAAATGACACCACTTTAAATGAATCACCAGCACAAGCCGAGTATCCAGTGTAATTTCATGGACCAGGACTGTGCTGGGCCTAGATGGGCTGTTTCTGTGGGCTTGGTTGTGCTTAATGCTCTGGCATGTTGATGTACGACATCCTGGTGAAAGCCTCGCTCCGTTCCCCGGCTCATTTCCACACATGGTTAACTCTTTCTTCCAGCATCTGAGTGGCCAGTTTACTGAATGCACTGAGGCCGTCCTCCGTGGGGACTGCAGTCTTGACTGATGACAGCACAGCATGTGTAGCTGCACCGTGACTGAGCAGACACTCTGCTTCTGGTTATTGTAGCTTTCAATACTCCCATCAGAAACATCAGAGATTAGTTCGGTGCTCTTATTTCTGCACCTATTTTCCTCTTTAAGTCCCAAACCTCTCACTGTCTGACGGCGTGTTAAAGCAAATGCTATTAAAGGTCAAGCAATTATTTCCTTTGCCCTTTTGCCGGTCTTTTAGCAACTGAAGTTTGACTGCAGCCTCCTGTTCCTCCATGATCTCAGGCTCGGCTACGCTCAGTACAACACTGTGGGCCCTGGTGTCATTACTACAGAAATGAGAAACGTATATCCTTAAAGTTGATACACTCATGGGATACTTTCCATATTCTCAGGTTGGCTGTACTCTTGAAATTTTAGGCAAGTTAATAATTGCAATACACACGAAGTACGTGCGTCCAGCTGAAGGCCTAGTGGCGAGATCTAACCAATCAAGACTTTTTAAGTTGCCTACAATACCACCCTCAGGCAACCTATACTGTTATTTTGTGTTAACTATAAATGGTTCCATATCCATGTAGCAATGCAGTGGTTGTGTTTTGTGTGTTCAGGATGTTCAATTACATTGTGGTCGAGCAGCTTCTCGTTAGTTGTGTGTCATACGCGCCACCTGCAGGGCTGTGTGCAGTCATTGTTCTGTACAATTCAATATCTGTCAGTCACGTTCTTAACAGCTCACAGTAATTTGCTGCATGTCGTTTTTCCACCTCTAAAAATGTTTGGAATTTTTTTGTTTGGAATCCAGCTGATGTAGATTTTTCTTGCAAATTGCCCCCCCTGGTGTACGAAGGACTGGAGCTGGCCCAGTAGCAGTGTCTAATACCCATGCTCGTTATGGTCCAGACCTTCTTCACTGTAGACGAAGCTGGACTGCAGGCAGGGAAGTGAGAAACAACCACTGGGTATTTAGGATGTCACTGGAAAAAGACACAAATTGATTAAATGATTCCAGTAAATTAACCATGTCAATTAACCATGCTAATTGATGCTTCTCTACAACTCTGAAGGCTGCCTTTTGTGTCTGTGGTAAATAAAGTTAATAAGTCTGGATGATTATTACATCCTTGCGATTCGAATTTTTGCTCAGTAGTACTTACTGTAAATGACTAAACCTCTTAGTCCGTTAGGAATTGCTAGAAATTGGTTGTGTATCAATTGTCTGGGACGAGATCTTGCCTTAACGAGGAGCGGCCACTGGTCATAAACCACCGATGCAGTGGTTCTTCTCATTTGTTCATTTTTCTGCACAATCAGTAAAAACTCTCTGGCCGTGATTGTCGTCTCCACAGTGGACCCACTGACCTAGCGTACAGTGCCAGATGTGGACCGGTGACAGCAGCGTTGCCATGGTAGCACATGAGAGGTGACAGCAGTAATAACAGCACTCGCTTTGAAGCGCTTTAAAGCACCACAGTCAGCATTTTCCTCCTCCTCGTCCTCCTCTCACCTCCACCCAGGAGCGGAGGAACGTGCTTGTTTGCCGATTGGGTAAACATTCATTTACATTCAGTTGCCAAATGTAAAGAATAATAACGGTGACTTTTCATTAGTATCACCAGCGTCTTCACCCGGCCCCACAAACCGTATGGTGGTGTGCGACGCGTTGTGAACGTGCTTCCACATTACGGCCATCTGGAGATTCCAGCGGGTGTGTTCATACACGAACACACCATCGCTCACAATCTTGCTTATTAACATACATTAAACCACATTCCCCTTTTTACACATCATCATTTCTGTAAGCACCAGTGCATCTCAGTGCTGCACAGGCCTGAGCTCAGCAGCACTGTCCTGCCGCAGGGCATCAGGGAGATTTCTGTTTGTGTGCAGTTATTCATTTCACATCTCTCACCAACACGCTAATCGATGTCTGACTCAGTGGAATTGTTTTCTGCCTTCTGATGTTTTTGAAGTTTGATAAGATGACACTGAAGTTATGGTCGAGGTTTTACTGTGGTTGTTTGTCAGGGGAGAATCAGATTCATTCCACCTTTCTCTGAGGACAATGAAAAAGTCAACACACATAAAGAACACATTAAAGTCTATGTTGGATGATAGTGGATAGTAGATGCTGTTTAATAGTCTTTATCTTTATGGCCTATTCTTCTTTTTCGTTCGGCTTTGTCCCTTTTTTCAGGGGTTATTGTTATGTATTATTATTAATAGAAAAATGCTATTTCTTTTATTGACCCTAAATGTATGTCTCGATAAAAAACAAATCTTTGAACAGTTTCCTTGAGGAGAGAATAAAATGAGATCAATTTTACACCAGGTCTGCCAAAATCTGCCAAAACTGCAACATTGTTTTCCATGAATGATACTGTAAACGAAGTTAAGAGGAAGTAAAGGCTTTTGTTAAACTCAGAAGTGTTTAAAGTTTCACAGTTCACTCTCCCTTTGACAGACTTTTGAAGTTGTGCACTGAAAACCTCAGATGATAGAAATGTTGCATGGTTCAAAGATTGGATTAGATTAGTTTCACTAATGGAACATGTCATTTACTGATATAATTAAATGATCATCATGCTTAGACATCTTAGGGTTTCTGTTCCAGGGCAGCAGCTGTAAATCCATGTGTGGTGTTTGTTTTTTCAGCTTAGTACAAACGTGTTTCAGCTGGATATAAATGGCAAATAAAGCAAAAAACACTGACCAAAGAACAAGCTGTCTTCCTGTAGATCAGTAGATGTGATCGACTGTTTGCCATCTTGAACACAATGCATTTACACATTTGTTTTTCCTTTTTTGTTTCCACCTCAGGGGAGGAGCTCCAGGGCAAAATTACTGTGCGGAAAAACAGGAAAGATCCTCGATCACTGTTGGTCACCTTTGAACTTCAAGACAGGAAACAAACATACACCTTACAATAAGATCAGACGTCAAACGACCGGTGGTTGCTGCTTTAAAATAGTCATGGATTAATGACTATTGTTGGAGTAGGTTAGAACTAAAGCATTTTTTTATAGAATATCAAAAGAGTTTGTATGTGTTTGTGCCACATAATAAAAAAATAACTTGGATGAAAAATTCCTCTTTTTTTATACTCCTTTAGTCTCTGTTAGAAGTAGAAACTGTCAACACACCAGTTAATGTGGAGACTGAACTTTTAAATTCAATTTGAACCTGTTTTTCTGCCTGCAGGCCACAGTCATGAGGACTGGTTTCGACCAATCTCATCACGCACCATTACTCACACACTGTTTCCATTAAAATGTCCAACTCAATTGCAAAAAGGAAAATAGAAGATGAACCAAGGGTTTTTCCCCTTAATTTCTCTCGGAGCTGATCTTACTGGTCCAGTTTGAGCTGCATGTGTTAATGAGCCGACGAGGAAATGCAAAATAAAATACAGTACATGAGCCAGAAATATCCCCTGCTCAAAAACAAAGTTTATTTTCCTTCCTGAGGATGAGCAGTTGACTATTGATTTGTTACTAATTAACAGTCATCTTAATTTGCGTCAACAGACTAGAATTTAAAGGTTTTGAGTTTGCTTTTTCTCCCACAGGTCCTATAACGATAGTAATAATGATGACGATGATGATGATGATGATGATGATGATGATGAGAGCTGAGGGGCCATTGGCTGACCTCCTCCTCTGCTGAATCTCTCTTTTCCAGGCGCCTCAGCTGAAGGCTTCTTATCACACGGGCCATAGTGGGAGTGATCAATTAATTACATGAGCTCCCGTAATTAACTAGCACTTGGAGACACCCAGAACCAGACACCAGAGCTGCCTCCTTCACCTCCTCCTCCTCTGATGCTTGACATTTGGTTCAGTTTTAAAGAAGAATTAAAGAAACTGACGTGGGTTGAGGAAAAAAACGCAAAGACGCAGAGTTAACTTAGGTCAAATGTTTAACGGACGGCCTACAAGAACCTCCTTTCTCTGGTACACGTCACCCTATATTTGGTATCATCTGCCTTGACACCAGGAAAACACGCCCTTGTCCTACTTAGAAACATTTTTCCTAAAAGAAAAAAAATCTGATTAGACTTTAAATCACAGGCCGCGCTGTTTGAATGTGTGTGTGTGTGTGTGTCTGCGTGTACGCGCGGGGGCTGTCAGTGCGTGTGATCAGCGGAGCCTGGCAGAGGAGCAGAAATCAATTACAATTATTCTCTGTTGACAAAGTAATTAAGGAGAAGGCGGTGGGTTGCGGACCCGCCCCAGACCCTTATCTGGAGCGGGCCCAGCCGCACACGTGTTCGAGGTGGAGCCGCTTTGGCTCCATGCGTCCACACTGACGCCAGCACATACAGGAAAAAAGCCCAAAAATCCAGGGAAAAAAACACATAAAACAAAAGTTTAAAGAAGTGCTTTAATGGATAGAGATGTGATTTAATCTTTATCGTTATTATGACTTATATCAACCGTGTATTATCCACTAAAGATGTTGCCACTCAGATATTTAGTGTCACTTGTTGGATACAATTTTGTCGATATTACAAATATATTGTATATGAGTGGACAGTACAGAAAATACTATCATAGTATTTGTTTTCCATGTCTCGGATGTGCGGCCATTGCACAGATAAGGACTAAAAAAATGATACTGAAGAAATATGAGCTCTTTAACATTATTTTTATTTAAGAACACACCTTGTGTTCGTGTTTCTTTGTGTGTTCCTGAAGTGTCAGATTCAACATTTTTAAGAAAATCAATATCTGGGTGAGTTTGTGTGTGTGTGTGTGTGAGAGAGAGAGAGAAACAGGGTAAGACTGAATGAGGGAGAGAGACAGACAGAGAGGTAGAGTCACGTAAATAAAATCTACCGCCTGTGTGTCTCACTATTAAATGCACTATTAGATTACAATTGTGTGAAACTATAATGAAGTTTTTCTCCTTATCTAACCAGACCAGCGTGTTTCCTGTCTAATTAGACTGAGATAAAACCATCACACTAATGCTGCGCGTGTGTATTATGGTTTAAAGGCAGCTTGGACCGTGGTATGCGCAATGCAGTATTTCACACTATATATATATATATATATATATATATATATTTATATATATATATATATATAAAACCAAGACCTCGCCTACTTTAAAAAAAAAGGTTGATTATTGCCTCTATAGTGACGCACGGAGAAACGTAACCTATGGATCCAGGAGCGCGCCGTGCGTAAAATCCGCCAAGTGGAAAAACTATTTATACTCCAGGCCATTTTTAGCACCCGACCTTTTACCACTGAGGTTAACCTACAACTTTCTTTTTGATCAGTATTTACTTAGTTGTTTATATACATATATGTATGGATATATGTGGCTCAATTAAAGAAAAAACACACTCACTTCAGATACACAACAGTTCCTATAAAGTATTTCCGCAGCCTTTAAAGGGCGCAGGTGTACGTCACGGTGTCACCGCATTGTTTTCTATAAATACACCTCACGCAAGTTACTGTAATTGTGACTCTACCAAAAAGGCCAACTCAGCATACTGTAAATACTCTTTAGACCTGGTTGCAGTTTCTATAACTGGTTAGATTTTGTTCCAATAATAGTCTAATTCTGAATTTTATTTTTCTGTCCCATAGGGTTTTATGTGGGGGCTGTGAGTGCACGTGTGTGTGTGTTAATGTGTGTATGTGTGTGAACAGCCATGCATCCCTGGGGACAATTGTATTAATCAGCTCTTAAGAGTCACTCCTGCGCTCACGCATGCATCTTGCGTAACCGGAACGCACACAGTTCACGCACGCACTCAGGCTCCCACCTCGTGTCGACTTCGGTTGTCCCTTTAAAAATCCGAATCCAAGGCCAATGATTTATCAAACTCCTATTATCAAGAAAATGTCACACGAAGGGCACCTTCCTCTGCACTGACGCA